AGATAGCTGCAATACCTGTGAAAGCCATTGTACAAATTGTTTTTCCTTGAGCTTTTAATAAGTGATATAAAGTTGTGTATATAAAAGTTTTTCCAGAACCCCCTGGACCATCAATATAATAACAATAAGATGGTATTTCCTCGTCAGATTCAACAACATTTAATATCGTATCAACAATTTCTGTCTGTTTCAGATTTAACTGATTATACTGCTTTTGACCGATTCTCGTGTAAGTTTGAATTGTCATTTCAGCATTGTTCCCATCATCAGTATCATACTGACATTCAATTAATGGTGGCATTGTTGGAAATTTATCAATGCTTGATCCTTCGTCCATAAGAAGTGAATTGATATGCGCATACGCTCTGTTGTGAGATTCACATTCTTCGTAATTTCGTTGAAAATCTTGAGCAAAAGCGTATTTAAATTTTTCCCATAGTTGCACTGGGTTATTTGGATGACACTATATTAAAATGCGAACAAATAACTGTCTTAGCTGGCGTGGCATCATCCATATTTCCCCTTCAGGTAAAGCACGATCCCATTCTTGATCATCTTCAATGAGTCCTAATGCTAAACACGTAGCGTGGTATGTATCACATAATCCACCATTCACAGTTCTTAAATCTTCAAAGCTACTGGCACCTTTAACTGCTATAAGTAGTAAACGAAGATGAAATAGTTCTAGTTGAGTTGGACTCACAAAATACATTCGTCCAAGAACATTAAAATGCGATTTACGTTTTTCCCACATGTATTGATTTGAATTTGGTTGTTTTTTAAAAACATAATGCGAAGGAATATCCCCGTACGTGTAATTTTTAGCTTCTGGATCCCGTTGATTCAGAGAAAAATAATCAACCAACATACTTGTTTTTTCTAAAGCCGTTGCCATACCGTCTTCATTCTCAACATCGTTGATAACTATGTTTTGTTGATTTGGTAAATGAATTGATAATCGTGTGATTGAATGACTTTTATGCTGTATTGATCGTCCATATATTCGATCACATGCCTCAACTGGAGAAACATAGCGAGTATCCAAGAAATTGCGGATTTCATCATGGTGAATTTCATTTTGATTATCCACATTGCTCACTACAACGGAAGCGGAATCATGGCCTTTATATATATATTTATATAAATATTTCACGGATTTGATGCTAGAAACCACGTCAACGTTGATGTGGCAATTGAATTTTTTCAATAATTGACCATTGTAAGGAACAACAAATGCATTATCAAATGATTGTCCGTTATAACGCTCATAAGTACCTGTATTTCTTCGACGATACGTCGGATATCCATTTTCATCCATCATGGTATAGTCTTGAAATTTTTTTGGGAATTTTTTTGAACGTTTTCCTTTTTCATCTTGACACCAGTTACCGC